GTACTGTGTGACTGGGCCTCGTGTCACTTTATGTTCAACAAACTGGGCCCTGAGGTCAAAAAGGTTAAGAACCCCTGTTATGTCGATAACATCTTAACAGACAAACAAATAAACAAACACAGGATTATAATAAAAAAATGTCATGGTATAAATAGTACATAAAACAATTAACAAGGTATGTTTGAACTATGGGAGTATATACTAACTTTCAYTAAGTATAGTTTGRTTATTAAACMTATAAACTCAGCTTGGAGAAACAGTTTGACAASATTTATTCTTTAAAATTTCTTTCTTCTAAAGTTTATACGACTGCTGTTTTATGCAGTTTTACATTGCTGTGAATGTTARATGACATTGGTATTTATATGAAATATTTTACAAATGTGATAGTGCCAATAGCAACAACATGTAGGACCTGCTGTCCAGTCATTCGTCAGGAGTTTGACAATACTTGTGCTGAAATAATCATGTAATTTATAATGTGATTGGGTGTAAAAGTTTAATAATAATGTTTGCATGAACCATTATAAAAGTTTAAAGATTAGAGCCATTTTAAAATGGCAGCAACTTGCTGTGGAGGTGGGTCTATTCAGACAAGCCATTTTAATTTAAACATGATCAAATCAGACTGAGACAAGAACAACACCATCAAAAAGTGGTCTTGAGACTGGTCTTAAGACCAAGACCGGTCTCAAGTTCTACAAGACTAGATATGAAAACCCACTGTTGACACTCACCTGAAGCTGGTAAGGCTTTCCAGCACGGATTATCTGTGACACCAGGAAGTTTGTGTGGAAAAAGTGAACATTCTCATCTAGAAAGCCGTGGAGAATAAGCAACCGATTGGGCCTGCAAGGACAAAACTTACATGAGTAGAATACACATTTTAAATGAGCAGTAAGTTTCAGAGTGTTAAGACATTCAGAACATTTTTCCTAACACTAGATGAGTCCTAACTGGTCCAAAGAAATGCATAAAATAGTTCAAATATTWGACTTTGACTTCAGCTTTCAAAGGCAGTGATCTGACACTGTCTGCATGGAAAGTGAAGAAAGTAATTACTGTATTTATTCANACTCTTAGTTTTATGTGACAGAAAGGTGCTTCTACTGTAAATATGTTAGCAAAAACCTATAATGAAAAGTTCCCAGACTGCTTATAGATTTATCTCTTGAACAAATACATATTTTTACATATCACAACATCGGCAATTTTTTCAGCTTTAATTGAAGCCATATTTTATAGAAATCGGATAAGAAATGAGGGTGCTGGTTGGTTAGGTTAGGTTAGCTGGTTGAAACTCTATTGTTTTGTTGACCTGACTCAATGCATAGCAATGGCTCCTGTGACGGCGCGTCACTAGCTATAGTGGCTATAGGCCATTTCCAATCCAGTGATATAGATCAATGGTTTAGTCATTCAACTCATGAATTAACTATTCCATGTACTGTGTGTTGGTCCTCCATACACAACTTGAACGACTCAAGTGACTGAAATGAATCAGGTTATTTTAGTGATTGACTCAGATTAACCTGGTTCCATGAAGTGAACCAGATTTACCAGCTCTAAAACCATATTCAGTGCAGTGCACCAACCTGATCTGAAGCATTCAGGTGATGCTGGGTTCTTTCTTTCCAGGTGTTTGTTGATTAGTGGACTGTATGATGCTGTGTGCCAGAGATATAAGAGGTTTAGGTTAGTTAAGACCTCAGGTTCATGGGACTTGATTCAGAGATGGGACTCGAATCATTAACTGGACTGAGGAACTGACCAACACTCTGAACCTTATATGGACTCTGTGTGTGTGTGTTTGTGTGCGTGCATGCGTGCGTGCGTGTGTGTGTTTGTGAGGGCACCCATCCACCAGCAGATAGTCAAGTTGTTAAAGTTTTATGGTTTGTTGCTGAATTTTGTCTTTTGTGTTTTGATTATATTTTTGTGTTGGACTAACATTTTTATCAACACATTTCTTATTTTTGGTCACAACATTTGGTCACAACATTTCTTATATATATTATATTCAATAACTATCCTTGAATCCTTCTTACGTAGAATCAGTGCGTCTGCAGCTCAAAGCAGAGACCAGCTCTAACTCAAACACTGAGGGAAATGATGCTGGTTTGGTAGCAGAGTCTCTGTTTGTCAAATTCTACAAAAACTTGCTTTGTTTTTGTGTCCAGATCATGTTTTAAAATGATGACATCTGAGTGATTCAGACTCTGCTGTTTGAAGTCTTTCTTTAGTTTGAGTTTCTGTCACATGTTTAGCAGCAAATATTAATATTAAAATATGATTTATTTGTTCAGTAGTATAAAATGTGTTGTTTGCACCAGACTGCAAGAGTTTAAAAAAATCCTTCAAACGATTGTTTTATTTCTCATTTCAGCTGAATGAGAACTGTTTCACACAGATAACTGTTGTGAGTTTTTACTCAAACTGGATCATTTAGACTTGTTGTGTTTTTGCAGGTGAATGTGCGCGTCACCACTATGGACGCTGAGTTGGAGTTTGCCATCCAGCCCAACACAACAGGCAAACAGCTCTTTGACCAGGTAAGACAACACGAACTCCTGCATCTGTTTGACTTTTCTTCATTAGAAAACTGTTTGTAAGAAGTGAACCATCGGCTGCAGCTGCAGAGCTTCAAAGTGTCCGATCGCCTCAGTTGTGTTGAGCTCTGACCCACAGCAAGGATCAGAGTGTTTCTGTTGGTCACTGATGAAAAGAGCACAAACCTGTGTGTGTTTGTGATGACCTGTGTGTGTGTTTGTGACCTGTGTGTGTTTGTGACCTGTGTGTGTGTTTGTGACCTGTGTGTGTGTTTGTGACCTGTGTGTGTTTGTGACCTGTGTGTGTGTTTGTGACCTGTGTGTGTTTGTGACCTGTGTGTGTGTGTTTGTGACCTGTGTGTGTGT